CACTCTTGTCATCTGAATGCTCGCACGCATTTCGAGCTATTCATTTGAATACGACCGCAGATCTGTTTCTGAGCAAACGACTAAGAAATTTCGTGTTTAGCCAAAAACTATCGAAACAAATTCATCAAGTTTGGCAAAATGGTGAAAATCTTAAACCACTCAGTTTTTGCAGTCATGAATTGGGGAAAATATCCATCCGATCGAGTTCAAATCCGCCTGAATTAGTGAATGGCTTGCTCAATAATGAGTGCGTAATCAAGAAATCATGAAGATGGAGGCGGTGGCGGCGATCTCTGGATTGGTCCTTGGGTTGCCGGGGAACAGGACAATGAGTGGAGATCAGTGGTTGTGTGTGCTGTGAACGAGGAGAGTATCGCCGAATCGACCGGCTCAAGACAAGATGGACACTTAAATGAACGCATCAGCCAATCGTCCACACAGTCCACATGATAACAATGCATACAAGGCAAATAACGTATCGCATCCCCGTCCACAAATTCTATCATACAAATCGCACACCTGAAACATACAGTCAATTAAAGACATTGAATCATTCAATTTCTCAGATTCGGAAACCTTAAATTTGATTTCAAAAAATTTGAATTTGAACTTTGCATTCACATTCAGATATCCTTTGTTACTTCTCGAGAAGCGAAAGCGAAAAGTGGAATCTGATATTCGCAACAAATTTCCCGAATAATCCAACTAATAGCCACTTCAATCCCTCAATTCAGACTGGAATTGACGGAGAATTTTCATTGCAAGAAGTGAGTGATTATCGAGAACTCACTCAGCATCTCCTTTTGTACCGCTCGCGTATTTATCCGCAGGAATTTGCTCGAGCATTCCCGACAACCTCGCTTTACCCGTTTGCGCAATACCACGTTCATTGTTTGCCTCAGCTGCCTGTAAGCTTCGCCTATTCTCCTGGGCCCATAATTCGTTCACATAAGAACTTTGCACCTGTAAATCACATACGAGTTTATGTCTCTCTGTTATCACCAATATCACATTCTTCCTTCATTGACATCCTCATTTCCGTGTAGCTATCAATAACAGCGCTGAGAATCATCCGTCTTCATCAAATTCTAACTTCGACTACTGATATATTTGGCGAGCACAAAGGTTCTGGGCTGTCACTGAGTCCCCTCAGCATTCATGCATAGTCTTGAGCTGACTGCAATCTTCACTATATCCGCAGTAATGCTTAATCATTAAGGTGGCTACGTGATCGGAAAGGTGATCGGTGATATTTTGCTTCCACCCATTTCTTTGTGATTCTATCAATGTCATCACTGATAGTATCACCATAGATAAATGATCAAAGCTGGCCAGATTTCGCACTGGAGAATGGATTTCCTGTTAAGCATGCGGTTTAAAAGCTACCGGTTGTCTAGGTTGCACATTGGATGAATGCTGGGCAGTGATGTCGTCAAGTTGTGACTGATCATCGGAATGACGCATTGAGGGGAACAATACAGGTAGACAGTTCCCCATTCCGATGTAACTATTCAGCATGGGCTATTCACACGCACTGAGAATATTCGTTACAACAGCAAATTTTTGACGGAAAACGCAATTTTGAATATAACCTTTTCAAAGCAAAGCCTGAAACAGTCCATTATCGGTATCATTTTATCACGAATAAGATTCGCTCTTCACAACATCTGTTTAGTTTTCAAAGCGTACAAGATCATCAAGAGATTTGAAACATAGAAGGTGGTATTCGAAGTTCAGCAGGTATATGTTAACAACTCCCCAAGCTCAGCGATTGACCGAAAAGAGGAAGAGGAGATTATTTCGGAGTTGCATAAAATCTCTGGCATGTATTCATGGTTAACACGTTTCGAATCAATAAGTATAGGAGATGAAAAGTTGGAACGATTGGAAACGATGAATATGGATGGATATTGACTTGAACATTAGAAATAGTGAATGCGCTAGGCTGAAAGTTATCCAGTTAGATAAAATAAACAACTTTCAATGAATTGAACTGCTTATCGAATACCGAACAGCTGAACAAATTC